ATATGAAAAAGGAAAAGCGCCGCAGGGAAAAATTTGGAATAAAAAACTGCGCGATAGAAACTCTTACTGTCTTTAGCTTTTACAAAAATTTAATTAAAATTAAATAAATTTAATTAAATTAATTAATTAATTTAATTAATTAAAAATACTAAAGAAATATATACAAACAATCTTTTTTAATCACCTTATTTGTTATAAGATTGAGTTGTAGAATTTAATGGATAATTAATCAAGCTACGCTATCCACAGTATTCTTGCGTAGAATTCCTTTCTGCGTAGGCGGCCTTCGGCCGCGCTTAGGGATTATAACCCTCACTACGTAGAATTCTTCTTTCTGTGTTGCCAAATAAAAGGGGCTCAACACCTTTTGCAGAGAAAAACTTTCTGCGTAGGCGGCCTTCGGCCGCGCTTAGAGATTATAACCTTCACTACGTAGAATTCGCCTTTCTGCGTGCGAAGAAAAGGAACAGAAATCCGCTTTTCACAAAAGTATATTCCTTGTGCATTATTTGGGTGTTTTTAAAGTTGAAATACAAATTGTAATAATAGAGTGGCAGCACCAGTTTTCCTCCATCTTATTTATATTAACTACACAAGATTATTGTGCGGATTTTCACCATCGGAATATTGCTATCAAATACAGAATTTCGCGAAAATGTACACTTAAAACATCACAAATGTATAAAAAACTAATAAATACGTGTTAAATTGAGATATTTATTCCATTCATTTGCGTGAAATCCATCAAAACATAGTGCGGGAAGTGCAAGTGTTTTTTGCAAATAACTGTTTCTTGAATTAAAAATGTTATTTTCCGGTCTTGGATTGTTATTATTGGCGTTAAGACGCGTTGATTGATACCACTCTCGAACCTTTTCCGTCCATTTTGAGCTGGTTCCGCTAAAGTGCACTACTACCTAAATTAATAACATATAACATTAATACAGTTGTGATAAAGGTATCTTTATGGTATTTCCGATAAAGATATTTGTTAATATAGTTAATTATGTATTATTTTACGAAAAACATACATTTTTATAAAAAAAATTGGCATAATTTCGTTTTTTTTACTTTTTCTCAAAATATGTTAGCATTGTATACATAGATATATATACTGAATGAAAGGTCTTTCAATCACATTTCCAACTGTGTCCATATTTTTAATGAGCCTGAGCACACTAGCCTGCTCAGTCGGACTGAGCATTTCACCACTCGAACGCGCACTGGACTGGGCAGTCGGCCGGAAACATGTTTCAGTTTTGTATACATGAACTACGCATGATTGTGTTAGTGCATGTGGCACATGCAAACAAAACGAAGTAGAAAACATGTTGTCTATGTGTGTGTGTCAGTCCACCGTCAATCCGCGATTTTCGCGGACTGAAATGAGCGAGGTAAACTCGAACTCTCTTCCCTCCCCCCCTTATCCACACAAAATCGGTTTTAGGCGGACTGAGCAGTCCAGTCTGCGGAGGTCCAATCGGTTCAATAGTTTTCTAAATATAAAAGTTTTGGAAATTTTGGAAATTCCACGTTTAGCCCCCCCTAGCGCCGCCCCTGTCAATTTGCACCAAAAAAAAAAGTTTACCATTAAACTCAGCAGAAATGGGTGCACCACGTCCACGTTTTCTTTTTTCTCTAGCACAAGGGTCCGTATTCTTTAGGTAACCCTCGACATTTTAATTAAAAAAAAGAAATTTTGATTTAAAAAACTGTTGAAATTGAACGTCGACCCTTATACGCTTGTAGTTGTTGTTTCTGCAAAAATATATACCGTTATTAGGGCATTCGCACGAGGCGATTTTACAGGCAACAAAAGTTGAATACGAAGTTGAATGAGAAGTTGAAATTGAAAAAGTTGCCATCCCATTCAGGCGAGGCGATTTTCGATTCAACACGAATCGTTATTTACATTATACTAAGTTCAGACCAAAAGTTGATCTCCTCAAACCAAAATAAATCTTTTTATTAATCCTCGCCGTTCACACTGCTGTTGGAGATTCATGCAACAGCTGTTTCTGACATATTGCATATTGTCTATTTAAATTTTTTTAAATCGCGTAAACGGTTAAATATGCGTTTTATAGTAATAAAAGTTATCTTCTTTTTCTTAAATATTCTCCATTCAATGGAAATGATGGAGGCATTATTTGATTTTAGGCGCCAGGCAATGAGACTTTTGTTTCTTGCTCAAACAATGCACAAATTAGTTAGTGCATGTGCATCAAATGCAACAAGGTCAGTTTGGACAAAGGCAAGTATAACATTTGTATAATAATTGCCTTAGTTTAATTAAAATAAGTACATAATATAGATTCGTGGCCACAAGTTCTGGGAAGTCGATTGCCAGATGAATTCCGATGCATTTTTTAAAAGTAATTTTCGGATGAAGCGTAAGTCTTTTAAGAAATTGTGCGATATGTTAAAAGGTCTGGAGAGGAAAAACACCAACTATCGCAAGGCAATTACTTTAGAAAAACGAGTTGCAATTGCTTTGTATGCCCTTGGCTCTTCGGCAGAATACCGCACAATTGCAAATATGTTTGGAATCGGTAAAAGCACTGTCTGCACCATTTTGATTGAGTTCTGCCATGAATTGTGGAGATGTTTGTGGCCGTTATATTTGAATAAATTCCCAATGAACGAAATTCAATTAAGGGAGTATTTAAATGGTTTTGAATCACTGGGTTTCCCTCAAGTGTTAGGAGCTATTGGTAAGAAATTGTATTTTTTAGAATGGATTTGCTTTGACATGAAGGTTTCAGATGGGTGCCACATAGAAGTTCATCCACCAGCAGAAGATGCAGTTGATTACCACAACTATAAAGGCTGGTACTCTATGGTCCTTTTGGCTTTGGTGGATGCAAGGCAAGTTTTTACATAAAGCTATTTTTGAACTTTTTAACATACATATAATTTTCTTTTATTATTTTATAGGTGTCGTTTCATTTACATCAATGTTGGTAGTCCAGGCCGTTGTAATGATTCAGCAATCTTTGAAAGTTCGTCATTAAAACGGCAGTTCCAACAATGCAGCTTGTTCAAAGAAATGACTAGGCAAATATCATCTGTTAATGTTCCAGTTATTTTGCTAGGCGACTCTGCCTTCAAACTAGATGTACATTTGATGAAGCCGTATCCCTTTTGCGTTAACCAACCGTTGAATAAAAAAAAATTTAACTTTGCCCTGTCTAAGTGCCGAAGAGTTGTCGAAAATGCTTTCGGCCATTTAAAGGCAAGGTTTAGGCGGGTTGGCAAAGGCCTGGACAACCACATGATCAACGCGAAAGCTATTATCAAAGCATGCTGTGTTTTGCACAACTTCCTGAATGAGGAAAATGATGAAATCAATGAAAGGTGGATTGCGGCACAGCAAATTGAAGACCAAAGTCGACAGTGGCCAGAAGACGAACCCAACATATCTGGAATCTTTAACACAAGGGCAGAGGAAATAAGACAAGCCTTTGTTTCGCATTTTGGTATGTTATTTATTACATTAGTTGACAATAAATAATCCGAGTACTATATCGGAATATAAAAAAGAATATTTTATACAGAGTTAAAAGGTAGTATACACTTTGTACTAATATAATATTAACAATTATTGTGAAAAATTTTTTTCCTTAATTTTGTATGAAAATATATCGACTGCTGAGTGGAAGATCGCCCTATCTCGACAGCCAGTTCGAAAACGCTCTATCTCAAAAAACTTTTCAAGAACGCCCTATTTAAAAATTTTATTGAAAAACACACTATCTCAGAATTTGATTGAAGGTCGCCCTATTTCAGAATTCGACTCAAAAATGCCCTATCTAACTTCAAGATGTATTGAAAATGTGCTGATATATGGCGTTTTTGAATCGGCAGCTGAGATAGGGCGTAAAATTCACAAATTTCCAAAAAATGTTCATCAAATTTTCAAACTTTTTAAAGAAGCTTAGGAGAATTTACGAGTATGCAGTT